AAATATATATAAAAATAAAATATATATAAAAGAATGATTGAATGATTGCTTTTGCTTTGAATTTCACATTTACTTATTTTTATTTATTTATTTATTTATTCCACTTATACAAGAAACTCAACTAAAGCAAAATGACAGTCGAGTTCAATTGACTCTTAAAGTAAATCTTAAATTAAAATAAAAGTAATTCTTATATTAAAACTTAGTATAAGTACAATAAAACAAATAAGAAGAAAAAAAAAAAAAAGAGAAAAGCATGTACACAACTAGCATAGAGCCACACCCACAACCGGTACAGGACCAAATTGTAAGTGAACCCCTAAGCCATCGCAAACATGCATAAGCTTGGCAACCGATAATACAATAATTTTTCGACTCATAATCACTTTTTAAAGTTAAAATTTAGTTCAAGTACGACATAGGTAAATCGTGCGTATTAAGCAATGTTACTTTAATGGAATTTAAAGAGTCCGTTAATGAGAATAAGTGAAAGACGTCATTTAGGTTCTTGCAAACAACTCTGAGCGGGTTAAACAGTTCGTAATTATATTTGCATTGACTAAGCTTTATCAAGATAAAGTGCATAGAGAAGCGGTTAAGGACATTATAGCCTATCTCACGAAGTAATGCGGGCGAGTCTATTAGCATTTGCTTCTACAAACAGCTAGTCATAAAGCATTAGTTTCTACAAACAGCTAATAACCAAACCAATACCGTCTACAAACAGCTAAGAACCAAACCAATACCGTCTACAAACCGCTCATATCCACACCAATCGTGCGGTTAGCAACAGGCAAACATAAAAAACTTATTTATTTTCGAATAATATTTCTCTTTTATAAATTTTTCTCTCACTCACCGAGAAGACTGCAATTAAATAACTTATTATTTTATTTAAATTATATATAATGTTTTCCTTTTTTTCCCCTTTTTTTATGTATATGTGTTTCATAGATGTAAAAATGAATAAAATAAATTATAAAAATCCTCAACAGTTTATTCATTTGCTCTGTTCTCTCGTTCACTTATCATTAACAATTTATCGCAGAGGAAATGCTCCTATTAGAATGAGATTAAGAAATTGATTACCAAAAGGTCAAAGAAGATCGCTTACTGGCAGCTTTTGTTTACTTCTATCAAAAAACATATGTATTTTTTCTCATACACATCCTGAGTAGTTTTTGTTCATTTTGAAAGACCTGCCGTTTGATTTTCGGAAATTCTGAGAGACTGTTCGTTTGATTTTTGTTTGTTGAATTTAAATTCTTATTCATTTGTCTGAGTTACTCAAATTTGAGTTTTTTAATGTCTTGCTTTCGAACACAAATAGTGATTGAAACGCGAGAGAGAGTTAGTGCGAGCGGGTGTTGCTGACGTCGCTCTATCTCAGAATTCGATTTCAATCATCCACTTGACTATCCGCTCATATACAGCCAGCCATACAGCCGTTATATAGTTTTATTTTATTCAAAGTCTCTCTCTCTCGCTCTCTCTGTCTCTCTCTCTCTCTCCCTCTCTACATCACAGTGCTTAATACGCTAAAATGTTTACAGGTTAAGGGTATTTTCCATTAAAGACCTTGTTTAGGAAGTTATTTAACCATCTCAGTCAATTGATATGATTCGAATTTGTCTTAAAAAGTCACCCTATCTGATCCAAATTTTCCGCCTGTGTCGAGGGATTTTTAAAAAACTGGCGATTTTTATCCGTTACAGTTATTGTTGTATTTCAACAGAGTGCAATTGACGTAAATGAACCGCTTTTAACCACACTAATAGGTTGTACTAAGCGCTATTAACCAGACTTGTATAAATTATGATCAAAATATGTATTTCGTCCGGACCGCTGCTGGCCGCAAACAAGCAACAACATGCCGATCGAAGGACACGTCTACAGTACTGCGTAAGATGAGAACACCTCTCTTTTTCAAGCAGAATACAAAATTT